AAATACAATTATGAGAACATAAATAGTTGGGCCCAAAATTTTATTTTATTAAATATATACATTCTTTATACGAAGTTAGTATTGTATACATAAAAATCATCAAAAACATGGTAGACAGTGTAGCTATTCCTACTCGCTTGCCGACGTCCATCCGACTGCGACCTCACCTAGATCCTGCAAAAACATAGGAAAAACAACAGGGTGAGCACAAATAATGCTCAGTAAGTAAACCCTCTACTCCTCTATCCTCGTAACTCTCTCTCTTCAATTCTTTCCTTACAATTACTCTATTCTCATTTACTCTTTATTTTCTCTTTCTGTTTCTCTCTCTTTATAACTCTCTTCTACCAACTCTCTCTTGTATGTCACGGCCCCATCTTACCGGAGGCATGGCCAGGACTCGCTCCCTCTCTCCGTGACTTCTACTCATTCTCAGTCGATCGGACTCGGTTATGCATGGATTCGGAACCCTTGGCCATGTGAGTGTATATTCTCTCTCTCGAGTACTCTCGGGTATAGCCTTTGATAATCCGTAAATTATACACTTTTCATTATACATTTTTGTCGGATTTCAGGTACTTTCTAGTGCATTTTGACCTGAATTGTTCCTTAATTCGTTACTTTTCGTATTTCAGGTTAAAATGGTCATTTTGAGCAAATAAGAAAAAAAATTGGATATTTTTGACTCAGAATTTAGCGGATCTCAGAAGATAGGAGAGTTTCAGAGCAGGATAAAGCACGAGGAAGCTTGTTTCCAAGGAAGAGCATCGAGAATCGAAGAATCAACGATGAAACAAGCGGAGTGGCAGTTCTGTAATTTTAGAACTGAGGAAGAAGCTTCGCCTCGGCGAAGAAAATGTCTTCGCCGCGGTGAAGTTGGCCAGGGACGAACTTATCTGACTCATTCTTCACCGCGGCGAAGAAGAGTCACTTATTCCAGTTTTGTTAAACGCACAGTTTCGTGCTGTGCGTGTTTGGCTGGGTTATTTGGACAAAGTATAAAAGAAAAACTTAGTCTTTTTGCCCAGGGGCTTCGTTTATGTTTTAAGTTTAGCCACTTTTACATTTTTGCTAAGAACTTTGAGTGATTTGGGTTGTAAAAGGAAGAAGATTCGATTTCCAACTAGAGGATTAATCTTTTGGGGAGATTTCTAATCTTTATTCTCATTTTCATTATGTTGAACATGTTTATTTCCTATTTTCGTTTTTGTGTTATTGAATTAATTATGAACTAATCTCTTTTGGGTTAGGGTTTTGATGGTAGTTTGGATTCTAAATGGGTTAAGGGTTTGATTGTGTTATTTTCATATGAGTATGCTTTGGTTGTGTGTTACTCTGATTTTTAATGTTGTATGTGATGAACATGGTGAGATTGAGAAATGAATCATGTTAGGCTTCTTGGGTAATCACCGTTATAGTATTGGATGCTAGAGATAGATTCAAGAATTAATGAAATCATTATAGGATTCTTGTGCTTAATGAGTTTGAAATTATTAATCTTCAATTTGTTGGGTGCGGAAGGTTAATAAGGAAGAATAGGAAGGCATAGCCCGAGAGGGTATGTCTACATGTTAGTGAGTTCGATTTACAACCTTTGCGTATGAGTATGAGTTTAGTGTAATTATAGGCTTAACCCATAAAAATCCAAATGAAGTCAAAACCCTACCCGTTTTACTTGAATTGATATTCCGTAATTTTTTATTGCTTTCTTAAGTAAGTTTTCACCTAGTAAATTTCATTTTGTTGTTTTTAAATTAAAATTTGCTCCCACCAATCCAAAGAATTCGATTGCTTCAACTAGAAAACATTAGGAAACTCAGTGATTTGCTTACAATCCTCGTGGGAACGATACTCTACTCATCAATATATTACTTGTGCGATTAGTATACTTGCTACAATTGTATGTTGTAGGAAACACGCATCAGCCTTCATCCGCATGCACTCTCACAGGCCATACCACTTTTCTCTCTCATACTCAGGCCGCTCTCTCTTTGCCACGTACATGCGGGAATACTCTACCCATTACTCACCGGTTCCCCATCGCACAACTTACTCTGTTCTCTTCTTTAGCACTACTCTCTCTTTATTCTCTAGTGCTCATTCTCTCATTCTCTTGACTCTTAGAGTAGTTACTTCTCAAAATTCTCTACTCTTTCTCAAGCTACTTCTCCAATGCACAATTAATGCCTATGAATGACTTATGCTCATTAATACACTCATGAAATGCAAGTATGATATGTGGCAATAATTAAGGTTCTCTACTCTTACTCATGCCTCTCTTGAGCATTTCATCAAACAACTCATGTGCATACAAAAACTCTACTTTAACTATAACTCTTCTCCTCTCTTTAATTATCCAAAATGGGAGAAAACTCCCTCATACACTCTAGGTTCCTGCCAAGGAAAAACACTCCCAAAAAGATTCATGCAAAACTCCTCTAACTTCAACTCAATTTCAATCTCTCTTCACACATCAACACTTCTCATAATGTAAACATATCCAACAACCATAAACTCAAAACACATCTCATCTCAATTTCTCAATAACATAACATACAGATGCATACATAAATCTCTATTCAATAAATTTCTTAAATCTCAACTTGGGTTGGATTTACTTATCTTATGATAGAGTGACTCCACTAGCACTTCTCTTTTCCTTTGGTAGATAGTCTTTTCTCTACCACTTTAAACAATAACACTATAAGACTTCAACATATCTATAAATAAAATTTACATCTAAAGCAAGAATCCTTACCTTAGGATGCTTTAGATTAACTCTCTACCAAAATTACTCAAAAAGCTCTCTAAAATCCTTGAAAAATTGAATTAAGAGTTAAGAGAAAATGGTGAAAGGGAATGGTGGTGGAAGAAGAAGAATGATGGGTTTGCTAAACTTAACCCCTTTTTAACTCATATTATAACCTCTCTTTCCCATTTTGCCCTTGCTCTTTCTTGGAAAGTCCATCTTTGTCCTTTAATTCATTGCACTCACACCCCCAATTCTAACACATTCTCCATGAAATTTTCTTGCATTTCACTCCCCACTTTTCCTGCTAATTAGGGGGAGAATGGTCACTTTGCCCCTATAGAAAATTCTCTAGAAACTTCATCCAACTTTTTAGCCGGCTCTTCGCCACGGCGAAGTTTCTTTCTTCACCCTGACGAAGAAATACAGGGGCTACGTTGCCACGACGACACTTCTTCTTTGCAGCGGCGAAGTCTGCACTTCCACAATTCTGCAGGACTTCACCAAATTCAAGGCAACTACTCAACCAAACCAAAACGCACATTCAAACAATATTAACAATATACAAACTCAAATAAGAGCAAAACAATAAACATTTAGCTACGTACCTCAAGTGGGGCGTTACATGTTAGAATTAGGGGTGTCAGTACAATGAATTAAAGGACAAAGATGGAATTTCTAAGAAAGAGCAAGGGAAAAATGGGAAAGGATGTGTATAATATGAGCTAATAAGGGTTTAGTCTTAGTAAACCCTTCATTCTTCTACTTCCACCGCCATTCCCTTTCACCATTTTCTCTCAACTCTTCATTCAATTTTTTCAAGGATTTCAGAGGGCTTTTTGAGTAGTTTTCGGTATAGAGTTAATCTAAAGCATCCTAAGGTAAGGAGTCTTGTTTTAGATGTGAATTTTGCTTATAGATATGTTGAAGTCTTATTGTATTTTTGTTTAAAGTTGTGCCTCCGGTAAGATGGGGCCATGGCATTCAAAGAAAGGGTTAGTAGAAAAGGGCTGTGAGAAAGAGAAACAGAAAGAGAAAATGAGAGAGTAATGTAAGGAAAGAATTAAGAGATGAGTTACGGGGATAGAGTAGTAGAGGATTTACTTACTGAGCATTATTTGTGCTCACCCCGTTGTTTTCTATGTTTTTGCATGATCTAGGTGAGGACACGGTCTGATAGACGTCGGTAGGCGAGGAGAAATAGCTACACTGTCCATCACATTTTTGATGGCTTTTGTATATGATACTTTACTTTGTATAAAGAATGTATATATTTAATAAAAGAAAAATTTGGGCCCAACTATTTATGTTATCATACTTGTATTCTCATTATGTATATTTTATGAGTATATGAGTAGAAAGCAGCTATTACATTTATGGCTTGTGCCCACTTACACCAAATTCCTTAAATTGTTCCTTGTGAGGTGAGTTGCTTGGTTGAAATTCCCTTAAGTATCTTGCACATGCTTTCGCTTTGAGATTTTTCACTTCATGATCTTTCAACTCTTGTCTTTGTTGAGGTTCCTCCAAAACTACACCACTCCTCAATGTTATGGCATGAACTTTTCTCTAGGATTAACTTTTGTTTTTCTTGGCAAGGAACCTTGAGGTCTCTCCGTCAATCATTTTGCTAATTGCCTCACTTGAACCTCCAAATTTTGAATGGACGCTTCTTGATTTCTGAAATTTGTCCTCATCTCATTCATGAACCTTTCAAACATATCTTCCAGCTTGGTTGTTCTCCCCTCTAGCGGTTGGTAATTAGCTACCAGTCTTGGTGCTCCTTGATTGCTCTAAGAGAAATTTGGATGGTTCCTCCATCTCGGATTGTATGTGTTGGAAAAAGGGTCATTCCGGGACCTTTGTGAAATAGCCATGTAATTCAATTGCTCGATTGTTGAGAAGACGAACAGGTTTCTCAATTGGCATTCCACACTTGCATGGTTTCTTTCACAAAATTCACAAGTTAAATTAGAAAAGGTGAGTGAAAAATATTTACATTCATACCTCCCAATTGTTTTTGAAGCGCTGAAATCTGAGCAAATAATGCAATGAAGGCATCAACTTCATGTAGACCCATGCTCTTTTTAGACATTGCTCGCTCATTGGGTGTTTGGTAGTTATTATTGGCCATCACCTCAAGTAGTTCTAGAGTCTTGTATTCAATGCTCCTCCTGCTGCCACATCTACCATAAATTGAATATTTAGTAACAACCCATTGTAGAATGTTTGGACTTGTATCCAAACCGGTAGACCAGGATGTGGACATTTCCTTAACAACTCCGTGTACCTCTCCCATGCTTCATATAATGACTTATCATCACCTTGCACAAAAGAGGTAATGTTGTTCCTTATCTTAGCCGATTTTGTTGGTAGAAAGTATTTTGCAAGAAACTTATGAGCTAATCCGTCCCATGTGGTGATTGTTCTAGCTGGGTGTGACATGAGCCAACCTTTTGCCTTATCTCTTTATGAAAATGGAATAATCTTTGCCGAATTGCATCCTCAGTCACTCCATTGTGCTTGAACGTGTCACATATCTCTAGAAAACTAGCGATATGGAAAATTGGATCCTCATATGAATTTCCATCAAATTGGACGGACTGTTCGATCATCTGACTTATCGCCAGCTTAATCTCAAATTTTTTTTTTTTTTTGGATACCGACTTAATTTCAAAGTTCACTGCAACAGGTGGCCTTGTAATACCATAATTGCCTTCTTGTACCATTGGTATGACATAATCCCTCAACGTTCTATGTACTTCTGCCATGATCTCTACATGCACTACAATAAAAAGTTCAAACTTAAGTATTCACAAAATTTAAGCTTAACTACAAAATAAAAATAAAAACTACAAACAAAAGAACTCAAGCTTAAGACTATAAAATATTTACGATTAACAACAAAAATGAAATAAAAGCTTCAATTTAGCACCAACTAGATACTATCAATATTAATAATCAACTATCCCCGACAATGGCGCCAAAAACTTGATGCGTTATTTCAAATGCATATTTAGCAAGTGCACTAGTCGCAAAAAGTAATAAAATGATAAGTAGAGTATCGTTCCCACAAGGATAGTGTTACTAAGTACCGATTTCTCTAGTTCAAGTCCTAATTGAAGTAACAATAAATTGGGTTGATGGAATATTAACAACTAAATACAAATTAACAACTAATAAATGACAAAAATGAAATTAAAGACAAAACCCAAAATCCAAACGAATCAAACAATGCTAAAAAATGCTAGGGTGTTGATTTCACCTAGATACGCTAACCCAATTCATAGAATCTATTACCCAAGTTCTAATTCCTTGATAGAAAATCAAATTCCCTAAGTTTTTTAGTACTCCTTAGATTATACCACCCCACCCCACCTATTCCCATTAACCTTCCGAACCCAAAAATTGAAGTTTAATAGTTCAAAGTCTTTTAAGCTTTGTGGAATTCTATCTAGATTTTATAGATCGCATTTATCTATCTCTAGTTTTCGCTCAATCTATGATATTTCTCCTAAAAGGCACTTGTAAGTTATTTGTCAACTTATGAACATAGAGTGGTACTCTCAATCTTGTTATGATCACCTCACCTTGTCTTAGCACATTTATTCTATTTAACTTCCAGTATGACCACCTCGTGTTTAAGGTGATCACCTTCCTTTTTATTAGTTATCTGCCTTATCGGGTGAGCACCTCTAAGTCAGAGTGATCACAACGTATCTGGCAGTTTTATTTGGGTAACACGTGCTATGCTTCTTGAATGCATGAGCTGTTATATTCTTTTTTGAGATATTTGTGTGGTCCATAACACTTGTCAAATTCATATTCAATGGGCTGGAAAGTTTTATTATCTTTGATAAGTGACATCTTGATATTGGAATAAACTTTTATAAAGGTGAATTAAATAAAGTTATTCTTGCCACCTGTCCTTACATTGGCTGGCTGTTTTCCTATATAAACTCTTCATTGCACTTTTTCTTAAGCCTGATATTTCTTTGAAAAGTATACTAAAAATTGTTTGAATTTTTACTTTGTTTTTGTCATGTTTCTATGCTTAGGTAAAGCTTTAAAATAGCTATTTCAAAGTACCCAAAATGCGTCCCTGCTCACTATGAGATGTTGAAGCGTGTTGAGCTTCTTCCACTGAAGTGCGTCTTCATTTCTGGTCCTTGAGAGAAGCTCAAGGCTAACCGTGTTGGTTGTGTGTTCCTGTAAGCTCACTGTGGGTGTACGTTGTTTAACCAAAGGGTAGAGATTGAAGCATTGCAAAACAAGGGTGTTTTGGCAACTGAGGCTTAATCTTTGACTTTTTAATTGAACTGTAAAGTTAACCTAGTGGATTAGCTTCATTCTGGACTTGGTCCCATGGTGTAGGCATTTTGCTAAACCATGTAAAAATCTTGTGTGTTTTGCTTTGGTTTATGTTTGTTACTTTATGTTTATGTTATTGCTGTATGTTTATGTTTAATGAACTCCTAAAATCAACATAGCAACCATTTCTGCTTAAGTTTTAATTCACTTCATAAATTTAAAACTTTCAGCACATATAACAAATCACTTCTCAGTTTCATTGTGAACAACACACATTTGGATGGTGATCAAGCATCCAAAATTCACTAAGCAAAGAGATAAACTCTCAATCATGAAATTAAAACTCAAAGTAAATCAATTTATATAAATTTGAATTATTGTATCAAAGTTACATCCAACCCTAGCAAAACAACTCAGTTCATACTCAAAAACAAGATAAAATAACAAAAACAAGTTGAATCAAGGTGTATCACTGAAAAACAAGCAAAAGATGGAGAAATCTTCTCTAACTAAAGCCCAAATATTCAATAATCTTCTCCTTCCAAGAGTTGCCTGCCAAATGATGAATCAAGACTCTTTTCCCTTCCTTTTCACGTCAATTTATGCCCCTCTCACTTAAGGATGAAGCCATAGCAAGCCAAAATGCATTGTTTTATTTTTTTTTTTGCATCTGACACAATTTTGCTGTGGCGAAGATCTTTCGGGCCAAATTTGAGCACGATAACATCTGAATCTGGCAAAGTGGTAAACATATGAATTGTATCCCTTTCAATTATATTTCTACTTATTCAAGAATAAGCCCAATCCAAGGTCTACAGATCAGGTTATGGCCCAAATACTGAAACATGTCCAAAGATGTTTTCTTCAGTTCGCAGCGTGCTATTCACAACTTGAACACATGCTTTCACCCTCTTCCAGTCAGAATTAGGAAAAACCTAAAACATTAAAGTTGTAGATCTAGTTCTTAGCTTTTAATAGCTTCTAAATTCAGGTCATTCCGAGTTTTCAAACTCAAGTTATGCAATTAACGCTCAAAACCATCATTTATGCTCAAAATCATCATTTAGGATTGCAGAGCAAAATTAATAGAATTAAGTAACGATTATAGACCAAATCATATGAGAAGTATCCTAAATCATATTGAAATTCAATGCAAAATCATAGGGAAAAATAGGATTATCAATTACACAGTGGGGGCATTCCTTTTGCTTCATCTTTTATGAATTAAAGCCCAAAGATTAGTAGATATTGGGTCAAAGAGCCCTAAAACGCCTATTCACATGTATTTCACTTTCTCTAGTTCATTTGGCACCAACACTTTTGTGCCAAACCATTGATATCATTCTTTTTCATTTCTTTTTTCCACTTTTCCAATTGTGGCTCACAAAGTTGTTGTATTATCAGTAAATTAAAAAAAACATATTTGTGATAAATTATTTTTAAGGTTTAGTCTTTTCTGTCTTGGTTTCTTTTAAGTACCCAGTTGGTTTCATAATTTTTATGCAAAGATAAATTATTTTAATGTTGGCTTTGAATTATGGATATGATCTGTAATAACAGTTGATGAATTGGTCTCTGTTTATCAGTTTAGGATTTTTTGTGTTATTTTATTCTATATATGAGAAACTTTGTTTTGTTTAATCTAGTTTGGAGATTGTTAGATTGATGCATTCATAACATTTGTTATTTTCTCCATATTTAAATATTCTTGCCAATTTTTACATTTTTATTTGTTGTTTTTCTACAATTTAGTTAAACATGTTCTGGTGTTTTATGTTTATTGATTTCAATTATTTTGTTGAATGCTACATGTATGCACACCAGAGAAAAGAAATAATATTTTTGTTTATGATTAAACTGGTCGTATCCATTATAGGTATGGAAGGCTCATCTGCAAGCCAACCTATGTTGGATGATACAATTTCACCTGCTAAACCTCAAAACTTCAATGAGGCCATAGCTAATATGGATGGAAATGCAATTGCTATTGCTAGCCCACATAATGAAGAAAATTATGATAAACCATTTCAAAGGGGAAAAAAAAAAAAAAAAAAAAGAGTTAAGACATTTGCAATTTGGACGAAATTTAAAGAAGTGGTTTTACCTAACGGTAAGAAAAAGGCAGAGTGCATCCACTTTAAGGCCAGACTTCAAATTACTTCAACTAGGAGCATTATTCAATTTTCAAGGCATTTGAAAGGGTGTGTGAGGCGAATAGTTTTCATGAGGCAATAACATATTAATTTTCCGTGTTCAGATTCAAGTGTTTGAAAAAATATGATGCCTACTCTTATAAGTGGCAAGTTCGATATGACAAAGATGAGGGAACTAGTTGTGCATTGTTAGGATAGGTGCACTAGAGCCAATAATATTAGGACAATTGTAATAATATTATTGAATATCAATAAAGGCATAACTTCTATATCATAGCATTCATTTATATACTTGTATATATATTGACATGTGTCCATAGAAGGGTTGAATCGTGGTGAGGAAATTAAGTATTTTAAATTTTAATTTTGAGAACCCTATGATCATATATGGTGGCCATTCTAGAACTATCTGTAGCCCCAATATTAATCTGAACAAGGACACAGATTATACGGTAAGGCTATCATAGCATTGAACGACCCTACCGAAAAGTAGTGACAGTTCTCACATGTCAAGGTTGTTAGGTGACAACCTGGTGCGACGCATCAGTGCTTGTTAATGACAAGTTCATTGGACTGACCCATCGGAGGATTCCACACAAGATGGTAATGCTAGTGTCTGTGGACTATATCCACCAATAGATGGTGGTGCATGTGAGCCCCCGACTTGAGATCACTAGAGCGCCGTGTGTAATTATTGATGTAATTTGACACTAGCCTAACAAAATCCTATTTAGGGTTATCAGTATAATAGTCATTGGTTACATCAAGAAGTACACTATGGTTATGGTGGATCAACAAAGGATTCATCACTCCTAGTTACAGGAGAAATTATCTCGCTGAGATATTCAATTAGGAACTACAACCGTAAAATCTGTGGCCACAATGGAATCGAGT